CCCAAAAATTTTATTCTTAAAGGTCAACTTTGGTCAAACTTATTTCTCCCATTATCTTAATTAGATGGATTATTGGTTTTACAAGTTTTGAAGACTTGTATCTAAGTGTGTTATAGTTGGAAGGGAAAAGCCTTAGGAATCAAGAACCTTTGCATGGCCGCAAACAACTTCCGAGCTGTGAACCTCGCAGCCATGAACGAGGCCGTGAACGGCTTCGGACCGTGAACATCTTCAGACCGTGAATCCTTGGTTCACGGCCATGAACTCCTCGACCGTAATCACTTTCCTATATATAATAGTTCGATCATTTTTATCTTCATTTCTCACCTCTTGACCGTGATCCTCTCAAAATCTCTCTCAAGTATCATCCACAAGAACTTCATCTTTCACTCTTTTTCATCCCTTTCCGTTACCATCTTCTTGGAATACATCAAAGAGCCTTCAAACACTCACCAAAAAACAATATCTTCAAGTGTTCTTCACCATTTCTGGGCCGTGAACCCTCCCAATGACGTGAACCATCCTTCAAGTGGGCCGTGAACCTCACTTAGGCCATGGACCATTCTTCAATTTGGGCCGTGAACACCTCAAGCCTAGCCGTGAACACCCTTTCAGCCTCCTAACTTGCTTCTAGCACTCTTTTGGTGAGTTATTCTTGCATCCTAGGTTGTTTCCCAATCACCTTTGTAATTAGATTCACTAATTACATGCCAATATGTATCTTTGTATGTCATTTAGGACTCGTTTGTGCCTCGGGACTTCATTCATGAAACTTATCATCCTTACTCGAATCTTCAATTGAATCACCCACATAAGGTGAGTTCATACCCCTATAATCTATCTTTTAAATGGTTTTTAAATGCTTTTAAGGGGGGGGGAATACAAGTTGAACACAATAAAATTGTGTTAATATTTACCTGTGATAACCATCACATTAAAGGAATTATTATGCTTTTATAAGTTATTAAATCAATTCAAAAACTCTTTTAAAAGATGTTTGATTGTTGTTTATAAAACTCCGTTTTTAAAGTACATGCTTAACCTAGTAGATAATTGAGTCTTTTCTACAAGTCAGTAACAGTTCAAGCAAACATACTAGTAAACTATAATAGGTATAGTTTAGAGGGTTACTACTTACTACTTCTAGAGCAGTGAAACTTACATGAGTCAGTTCATACTTGAGTCAGTTCATACATACTATAATAAGAACAAGATAACAATAATGTGAGCCACTACTTCATGGCATAGCAATATACTTGTTGTGACACCTTTTGTAACCAGAGTCTCCTGGAGGGAGAGCGTGAGTTTGTGTATAGATCTATACGGGATTGACCATCCTACACCTTGCTGCTAGCTATAGTGGGACCTGCAGGTCTACGGGTGACAAATGTGCTAGCTATAGTGGGACCTGCAGGTATACTAGTCAATCAAGCATGGTTATAACCTCATCACATTTTACCTTAATTTAACTAAATGGTTTTAAGGTAGTTAGTACTTCAGTAGTTATTTTATACAACACTATTGTATATCTTCATTTTTCCATTACATTCATATAGCGATATTCTCATATCGAGTAATGTAAATTATTTCCTAGTAGCATGAACATTCAGTTTGAAAGGGGCCTATAATGCTAACTATATGATTCCCCGGTAGATACATTAGGGATATATATTAATCGGATCCGACAGGTAGTAGGATGTGTGCTTTCCGCTTCATTTCCTGTTCCTTGTTTGGTTGTGGGCTTAGAGCGGATTCACGCTCTACTATCTATTCGATCTTGATATATATATATATATATATATATATATATATATATATATATCCTGCATACACCAAGTAATCATAGGGAGTAACAGGTATGGGTCAGGTCACATCATACAAATTCAGTATACCACTGTTAGTACAAGAACATACTTTTCAGATAAAACATTAAGTAGGTGAACTAGAAACTTATCTATAAAAGGTTTGATACACATTATTAAACCAATATAACTTAAAGGACCTTAGGTGGTTAATTCTATAATACCTTAGTTTATACATCAGGGTTATATATAATTAATATCCGATAGGCAGTTGAATGTGTGTTTTCTGCCTCATTTCCTGTTCCTTGTTTGGTTGTGGACTTAGGGCAGATTCATACATTTAACTGTACGTTCGATATTAGATTATATATAACTAGTATAAACTAAGTGATTATAGAAGGAACTATTGTGTTTACCATTTTACTAAAGGAAATATTTGATTTTCTTAAAGAATTTTTTCTTCAAATATAATAAAGTTATTACAGTTAACTCCGTAAGTACCAAATGAATACGCCAGGGTTATATATAATGAAGATCTAACAAACAATGGGATGTGTGACTTCCGCCTCATTTCCTGTTCCTTGTTTGGTTGTGGGCTTAGGGCAGATTCACACAATCGATTGACTGTTTACCCTGGATTGTATATAACTTGTATCCATTTAGTACTCATAGAAGGAATTGTAGAGTCATTTTTACTTATCATTCATCACATTAGAAAATATAGGATTTTTTGGAGGAACAAGCGAACTTTTCTAAAGAACTTATAGTTTACTTTTCATAACTAAAATACTTATGAACTCACCAGCTTAAATACTGATCTACTCTTTCAAAATAACTTTTATTCTCAGGAAACTAGTAGACAGGTACGCGCTCAGTGATTCAGAAGATGGAGCATAGTAGCTTCATGTCTTGTTTTGTTATTTACTTTGGAATCAATCTTTTGTGAATCTAATACATTGTAAACACTTTAATATTTATACAATGGTTGTTTGTTACTTTGATTACTATGATGCATGTGTTGTGATACTGAGCATGACGTCCTCCGCCCCCGAACGTTTCCGCCGTTCCGGTTTAGGGGTGTGACAAGTTTTGTCTTGTTATTTTGGTCATTACTTGAGATATTTGAAATGTTTTTGTTCATGTTTTATAAAAAATGACTATATTACTCGTTTATTTATAAAAAAGAAAAAAATTTAGAAAAGGTAATGCAACTATTTTACTTGGAACATGACCAAAGGATAGTTTTAATAGGAGGCTTATGAAATGGTTCATTCCATTCCTCAGTTATGATTATAATGGAATGGAATAAGCCATTCCATTTCTTCCCATATATGATTGCAAATTAAATAATGCTTATCTTATTCATGTTTTTTTTTGCTATAATAGGAGGCTTATGAAATGGTTCATTTTATTCCTCATTTATGATTGTAAGGGAATGAAATGAACCATTCCATTCCTTCCCATATATGATTGTAAATTAAATAATGTTTTTTTTTCATGTTTAGTTTTTTGCTATAATAGGAGCCTTATGAAAGTGCTATGTTGGCTAAGTATGGTAGTGATACTAGTTGGCATCCCCTCTTGCATAATGAAACATGGTATGATGTTTCCGGAGGAGTCAAGAAAAGAAGAATATATGGATTCATATGTGTCTGATTCAATGATCGTTTTGGAAGGAACATCTAGTACAATAACATCCCAAGAGGTTCGTTTCATTTTGTACCGTATAAAAATTTCCTATCATGACATTGTACTTGTAGAATATACCAAGTTGTGTATGGACATGTACGAGACGAGATGCATGGGGAGATGGACTCTGAAGTTGTAGAAATGAAAGTCAAACATTAACAAATGTGTGAGGAAAAAATGGATGGCACAGATGCAATAATAGATGTCAAACAACAACAAATTGATGCAAAATATGAAGCAATGGAGAAGATGTATGCGGTCTTGCAAAATATGATGGGAAATTGAAAATTAGTGGTAATATGATGTTAGGCTTTGATATCTATGTTTTTGGATGTTTTGATAAACTTTGATAGACTTGATGTTAGAATTTGATAACTTTGATATTTGATGTTTTTGGTAAACTTTGGTATCTATGTTTTTTGATGTTTTGATAAACTCTGATAGTTGTTTTTTGGTATTGTAATGTTAATGTTTAGTTTTGGTTGTATAACTATTTTATGCTTTTCTTTTATAATAATTTGATGATTTTGGCATTTTTTGTTTTAGATTCATAATAAAAAAATATAATATTATATGTTTGCAACGGATCAACGACAAAATAAAAATGATATCTGAATTTTTCATGGGATCTGCGACGGGAAAAAGAGCATGTCTAAAGTTTGCGAGGGATCAGCGACCGAAAAAATGAAAAATCATGAGCGAAATTTTCGAGGGTTCAATGACGGAATACCAATACAGATATGGAGATTTGCGACAGAATAGCAACGAAACATTGTTATCAAATTTTGGCATCAATGTCCTAATAATTGTATTGAGTGCCCAATTAGCGATGGAGATTCTGTCGCTAAATTTTTCGCACGAGAAAACCAATCCATCGCTAAAACCCTCGCTAAGTTATTACCCATGCTTTAATTAGCTAAGGAGAACATATATATCACTAATCCATTGCAAAGAACATTTAGCAATGGAATAGCGACCGATTCGTCCTACTCTAAAACTCAAGTTTCTAGTCGTGCTTGTCTCCAAACTCAAGTTGTATAACGCTTTACCGACTTGAATTTGAGGGGGGTGTTGGAGTATTTCGCTAATTGGCTTTTTTTGGGAGTTACTTTTGCATAAAATTGTAATTATTGGTAGTTTTCGTATTTTTCCATTGTTAGGTAGGTTTTATAATTGGATTTTGGAATTGTTTTTGTACGCTTCTTCTACTAAAATCTCAATTTTGTATGCACAAACGACTTCACGTAACATCGATCATTGTTCACCAACCAATTGAATACGTTACACTTAGAAAATATATTTTACACTTCCATAGTTCCATTACAACAAGTCAACAAATATATCAATAGGACTAAAGATGTTATTCAGCAATATTATAGGGAAAATTTTGTAATTACTGTGTAAAATATCACGCGAGTAAAACAAAATACACCCCATCTCGTCTCAAACCCTAAAGTCTATATATACATCGCCATTTCCATATCAGTCACACACAACTACAAGCTACGTATGGATGCATTGATCGAACCGTATAGCCCATTTATAGCAGTAGTATCATCGAAAAATGCATTGATCTCAAATTGCAGCACCGTCGTGAATACAGCTGTTGAAGCAGAAGTGAAGCTGGCTTCACGAAACCCAAAGAAGAGGGCCGGAAGGAAGAAGTTTAGGGAGACTCGACACCCGGTTTATCGGGGAGTGAGAATGAGGGATAACAATAAGTGGGTTTGTGAGGTGAGATGGCCCAACAAGAAGTTGAGGGTGTGGCTAGGGACGCATCCAACTGCTGAAATGGCAGCCAGGGCACATGACGTCGCAGCTTACGCCTTCCGGGGGCGATCGGCGTGTTTAAATTTTGCTGACTCGGTCTGGCGCCTGCCGATCCCGAAGTCTAACAATTTACAGGATATACAAGAGGCAGCCTCAGAAGCGGCGGAGGCTTTCAGACAAACGGAGGATGTTGTCGAGATTGTGGAAACGAAGGAGTTGCTGGAAACTCAATTTAAAGTGGATGAAGAAGATGTTATCGAGATGCAGAAATATTATTGCAGCATGGCGGAGGGACTGATGGTAGCGCCTCCTCCGACGGAGAGGTATGGAAGTTATGGGGATAGCGTTGAATTTTGTGCCGACGACTTTTTATGGAGCTTTTAGATTCACTATAAGTAAATATGCATATAAGTAAATAAATAAATAAATCGATTAATGGCTTTAACCTTTTTGTAGACAAGCCATTCAGATAACGTATAGTATGCAACAACCGTGCCTAGTAAATATATAGTATATTATAACTCAACGAAACGAATACGGATAAATCACTTCTTTCAATAATTCGTTAGATATATCAGGATGATAAAAAAAAAAAATAAGGAGTAAATGTGTACATTTCAAAAACTATCTTATCCTATCAAGTTATTTTCCTTTTCTTTTATTTTGTTGAAATGAAATACCCAGGTGGCATCCACATATCCACAACGAGATTTTTCCAACTTTTATTCATCATGAAAAAGAGAGGGAGAACCCCGATCTCCGTGCGACTCCTTTGTGTGTTCCAACACATCACAGGTAGCAAGGAGGAATGATGGCAAAAACAACAAGGTCGAAGGGGGAGGCAGGAGGAAGTAGAGACGGTAGTTGGCGGCGAGAAGCTGCTATGGTAGCCCCCTCGTCAATTCTTTCTTTTTTTTCTGGCAACATATCTCAAAGATGGAGACAAAGAGAGACAGATCGGAGAAACACAACAAGTAAAGGGTGTTTGTCTATTGTTGTTCGACCGGAAGGAAGAGAGACGAGAAAGAGAAGGGTCGTCGCCCTTTTCTTGTTGCTGGAGGATCACCCACATCCGGTGACTAAGCTAATTAATTGTTATTTAGTGCCACTTGTGCTTCCACATCAGCAAAACCTGTAGAATCCGGTGAAAATGACCTAATGTGTACATATTAATAAAGTATAAGGCTTTATTTTACAAAAAAAAAAATAATGACTAAATGTGTACAATTCAAAAAGTATGTTACCCTATCAAGTCATTTTTCCTAAAAGAAAATTCGTGTATGACCGGTATACCGGGTATAGCCGGTCACAAAGATTACATTGTTACAAAAAATAAAGTATAAATGTTTATTTTACAAAAAAAAAAAGAATAAGTATTAAATATGTACATTTCAAAAAGTATCTTACCCTATCAAGTCATTATCCCTTTAGTAATAAACTAATAATCGTTTTGTTAAAGAAACATATTCTTAGCGTAAAAATGAGAAAAAATGTTGAAGATTTGTCCCATATTAGCATTTAAACTTACATAATAATAATAATAATAATAATAATAATAATAAGACATGAATAATTTCTATCACCAAGTCTATATGTGAAATTAATTAAAGATGGATTGAAGTTCTGAGATATTAAACATAAATATTGTATGAATTAAAAACACATATCCTTAAGATATTATATATTTATTATATGGGTACGGCCTCATTTTATATAAATCTAGCTAGTTTTACATTTTTTATGTATAAATAAATCTTTAATTTGAAAAAACACACATCAAAATGTTGTATATTTACAATATTTGCCGGAAAAAATAGTCTATATCTATATTTATATTTAAAATTATATATTTATAAAGAATAATATCATTTCGTTTGAACAGCATAGAGAATAATATCATTGATGAGGATAAATGTAGTTGAAGGAAAATTAATTATCTTTTACCACATTAGATTGAATATTTTTCATCTATTAACTTTCATAGGCTAATATAAAACTTTTTAATAACAAAAAATAATATACAAACCATCTAATTAATATATATCATATAATTTTTTTAATAGAATATGATTTAAGATTAATAATTATTTTACAACATTAAGTTTAATTTAAAATTTAAATACCAAATTACGTATAATGATATTAAAACATCACAATTATTATATAAAATGTTACTACTTTTGAAAAAAAAAAACATAGACAATTATATATATATATATATATATATATATATATATATATATATATATATATATCTATATATATATATATATGATGAGTTTTCTAGGTTATAAACAAAAATTATATGTCATAGAAAAACACTTAAACCCTTAAGTTTACATGCAACCTAAAAAGGATTTATGTTTTCTCTATTGTTATCAACTAACTATGAATATCAAGAAAGGGTAGAAGAGATGCTATGAAATCAGAATTCATACAAAATTAGGGTTACAAACCTTTTGATTAGTATTGTAAATAATCAAAGTAGAATCATTCTTCTAGATCTTGGAAAACTAGCACCAAATGAATGGATGCATCTAATGGCTTGTACCCAAAACCCTAGTAGTAAGAAGACCGGAGGAGAGATGAGACTTGAGAAAAATTTCAGCTCTATGGAAGCAAGAAAAGGTGTACGAAAATAGGCACCCATGGTGTCCTATTTATACTTGTTTAAGGAAATTCTCATGGAATCCAAAGAGTCTATGAATTATTAATTCTAATTAATCCTAGAATTAAATCCAAATTAATTCTGATTAATAAATTAATCATTACTATTTCCAATTAATATATTAATAAATCATATATTCAATTTCCAATTAGTTTATTATTTGTACAATAAACTAACAAATCATCATCAATCTCCAACTGTTAATCTAATCAATTATTAGTTTTGAGGGCAACCTAAAAAAGACTTTGCTACTAATTCAAGAATATACCAATTTAGTTATTGGCTTACACACCTTAATCCAACAGCCTCCCACTTAGATAATTCTGTAACTAGAATTGCAAGTATATACCTTGAAATAAACAGCAAATAGTGCTTTCCAAAGCCAAAACCAAACTCTGATTCAAATTAGCTATTGGCCTTAACATAAGTGATCAACTATTCGTTCGTTCTTCAAGATATCATATGCACACGAGACATTTGTGACATCCCCATCTTTCACAGCTAGAAAAAACTGATTTCGTTTATGCTTTTAAAATAAAATCAGAGTAATCTTCCAAAAGGTGTTGCGAAATTTGTCTCCAAAACAAAATATGATAAAAATTTATCAAAGCATTTCTTAAAGAAATGTATTTTCATTATATAACAAAACCTCGAGATGTCATATTCCGATACAAACGTACCAAAAGCATAAACAGTAAATTATAAGTCTTACAACAGTTATTTACATTTACTGGTCTATAATCCAAAAATCCCTCGTCATCATCAACCTATGCTCGGGGTCCACTACATGTAATATAAAAAGTTGAGTGGGCAGGCTTGGGAGCCTGGTGAGCATATAGGGTTTTAACCCCACAATTAATAATAAATTTATTAATTTCATCAACCAATATTAAATTTATTAATTTCATCAACCAACAATATCCCTGATTACCCGTTCCCGTTATCCTCACTTTACGTCCCTAAACACCTATCATAAGGGACCTAGCCTAAGGATTTTCATCGGGGTGACAACACTGCTTTAGGGATTCCTCGGCAATTTATGTCAAATAAGGCAACCATGAGGGGGATAGTGTACACCAGTGTAACAACCCGATATTTCAAGTCAATGTATTGACTAAAAGTCAAATGTGGTAATCCTATTTTGAATTAATTGAAATAACATCAAAAATGAAATGTTCGAAAGTCTCACTTTGAGTGTACCAAGTAGTAGATATCGTAACAAGGTTTCCAAAAATATAAAGAACACTAAAATCTGAGTTATAACGAAGAAGTCATGACCGATCGAAGATACGCGATAGTACCGGCAAAACACTGTTAAGCGTAAAATACGGAATTCCGATAAAATACTTTTTAGCCTTAGGTATCTAAATGAAAGTCGTAGATATCATTAAACCGTAAACATACATAAAAAGAACGCCCAAATCTGACTTCGTATGAGGAAGTTATGATTTTTCGAAGTTTCGGACATAGTAGTAGACAACTAAAAACTCGAATTAGAGATCGATCGACTTTTTGCCAACATGACCTAAACGAGAATCGAAGATCTCATCAATGGTATTGCAACGGTAAAAAGTCTGATGAAAACGGACATCGAATGAAGAAGTTATGGATTTTTAACAGACTTTTCCTGTCCCGGCCTGTTAAAAATGTAATATTAAAAATAAAGTCAAAATTAGCCAACGAAGTCTAAACGAGAGTTGTAGAGCATAATCTCGCCTACGTGTGCATATAAAGAACGTCAAAATCGGAGCTCGTATGCGAGAGATATGAATTTATGAAGTTCGAGACACGAAAATCGAAGCTGTCAGACAGCTCACGACGTGAGCCAGAAGATTCACGACGTGAGTCTGTGATTGATGGGTTCCAGAGCTGTCAGCAAGCGTCACGTCATTGGAAGAGGATAAGGGTCGACCTCACGACGTGAGAAACTCAATTCTCACGACGTGAGACCCCAAAAGTTGGCCTATAAATAGATCTCAATGGTTTTCCGAGTTTAGTTGCTCACTTCTTCCCTTTGTCGTGCTTATGCTCTGCGTTTAACCCCCTCGAAGCCATCCCGAAGCCCCGGTTATCATACTCAAAGTCCTGAAGGACGTTTTACGTTCCCGAGATTCCCGAGGATCCCTAGAATTCAGCTTTCTCCAGTCGAAGTTCTGCTCGACTTTTGTCTCACTTTCTTCAAACTACCAGGTGAGTTCATACCCCCATTTCTACGCTTTTAACTGATTTTAAATGCTTTTGAACACTTTACGGGGGAGAATACAAGTAAACACACGGTTAATCCTGTGTGAAAACGTCTATCTTTCTTTATACATTTCAGATTGTTTTTAATAGCAATCATATGGATCATGTCTAACATACAAAACATCTTACTTTACTTTACCCTCACGAAATGAAACATGAGTATAAATATCATAAGCTTTATTTATACGTTTACATCATATTTAGGGTAACCACTTTCGTTATGACATCTTTATACATACAAGAACATACAAATCATTTTATGCCTTTATTATCATTATGAAAAAGGATAATCGTTACAGAAACAAACATATACATTTTGATACGGGACTTAATTGAGAATTCATGAGGCATTCATCTTCAATATACCTTTTAAGGTACCACTAGAAGTCCTGTTTATAACCAGAATCTCCCGTCCGGAGAACGTGACAAGTGTGTATAGATCTATACGGGACTAATGATCTCGCGCCCTGAC